TTTAAGCTTGGCAAATTTAGCCAGAATATCCTTCACATTTTTCCTTAATTTGATTAGATTCTCCCCTTCTAGTTTATCAATTTCTTTAGAAATATTAATTCCTAGATACTTTATTGAGTTCTTTATTTTTATTCTACCCAATCTCCCTTCTCTTAATTTTTCTTCTTCTTCTTTAGTGTGGTTAAATAATAAGATTTCTGATTTATCCCAATTAACTTTAAGGCCTGTAATTTCCCCAAACTCTGTTAAATGTGCTTCTATTCTTTTTATCTGTTCTAATGGCTTTCCGAAAGTTTGTAGTGTATCATCTGCAAATAAACATATCTTGTATCTTCCCTCCTTCCCTATCCCCTTTATATGTTTATCCTCTCGTATCATATTTGCTAGCATTTCTATAACTATTGAGAATAGGGTAGGAGAGAGGGGGCATCCCTGTCTTGTTCCTCGAGTCAATCTTATTTTCCCAGTAAGGCCATCATTTACTTGTATAGCGGCATAGTTGGTTGAGTATAGTTTCTCAATCAGTCCTCTAAATCTCTCTCCTAAACCAAATTTTTCTAATATTTTTTTTAATGCCGGCCATGAGACGCAATCAAATGCTTTAAATATGTCTAGGGTCAGTATCCCTGCTTTAATATTCTTTTTCTTAATTGTATGAATCACATTTAGTACTCTTCCCACTGGGTTTGACATTTGTCTACCAGGAATAAATCCATATTTATCTTTTTTAATATAATTATATATAAAGCTATTTAATCTCTTTGCCATTATTGCCGTCAGTATTTTAGCATCTTTTTTAAAAAATAATTTTTATTGAGATTTTTGCATTTGGAATACATCTATCGAGATGTTGATCATTGACATATCGTTATGATAAAAGAGGGGAGTGAGGGTATGATGGGTAGGAAAGTTGGGGAGCTACCCGGGAAGGGGAAAAAAAGGGGGGGTAGCACATCCGACTAAGGGAAAGAGGGGGGTTGTGCTGGGGTTGGAGAGTGGGACGTGGAGTGTGTTAGAATTCTTATCTACTGATTATGTCCCTTATAGCTTTGTTAGTATTGGTGTTATCTTCTACTGAGGTTGTCTTCTTTTCTTCTCTCTAGTTTTCTTTCTCAATTTAGCTGTCTTCTAGATATTTCTTGATTGGAGACCAGTCTGTTTTGCTCACCCCGGTCGTCTGTTTAGATCTCAAATATTGTGTCAGTGAGTCCATATTCATAATATCCATTAGTTTTAGTTTCCAATCGTCTATCGTTAGTATTTCATCATTTTTCCATTTTCTAGCTAGTACTAATCTTGCGGCTGTGGCCATATGGAAAAAGAGCTTATCTTTGTTCATTTCCACTTCGAAGTCCAAGATTCCAAGTAAATAGTACTCCGCTTTCATTTCTTTTCTGAATTCTAATATTTTGTTGGTTATCTCGTGGATTTCTTTCCAGAATTTTTTGACTTTCTCACAGGTCCACCAAAGATGGAAAAAAGTGCCTTTCTTTTCCTTGCATTTCCAGCAGTCTTCTGATACATTTTTATAGTATTTCGCTAGTTTATTTGGTGTAAGGTACCACTGGAACATCATTTTAATCCAGTTTTCTCTCAGGTTGTGAGAATTTATCCATTTTAGTTTGGTCTTCCAGATCTTTTCCCATTCCAGTGTATCAATGGTGTGTCCTAAGTTGGCTGTCCATTTTGTAATATAGCTGTTTATATTGTTTTTTTCTGTCTTCCAACATAATAAGATTTTATATAATTTAGTAATTCCCTTTTTCTCTGATAGCATAATCCTTTCCCACTGTTTTTCACCAGTTTCAAATCCTACTTTCCTATCTTTGTTGAATGCTTCGTTCAGCTGTCTATGTTGAAACCACGAGATCTCTCCATATGATATTTTGATCTCTTCCAGTGTCTTTCTCTTGTAGCCTTCTCTGTCTTTTTTCAGGATGACTTCATACTTGGGCCAATTTTCCCATCCCAGCTCTCTTCTTTGGGATACCTCAAGCGGGGAGATCCAGAGGGGTGTCTTAGCATCTTGATTTATAAGGGCAATAGGTCTATATGAACCAGGATCTTTAGGGTCTTTGTTTTTAGCATTAATATGATCCTTGATTCCTGCCATGATGATGGGATCTGTTCTCCTTCCATTATCCTATTATATAGTTCTTTTAATTTTGGCACTAAAATTGATTTACTTTTTTTATAATATTCCGGTCCTAGCCCATCCATTCCTGGAGTCTTCCCTCCTTTCAATTTATCTATAGCATCTCCTATCTCTTTTTCTGATGCTAATTGTTCCATACTCATTTTATACATCTCCTGTAATTTTATTTTCCAGAAAATATTCTGGAAAATACTGGCTGTTCCTTTAAAAGCCCTGTTTACGCAAGCATTCACTGGCCTGCGCAACATGGTTATTTTAAGCCTTCCCCATTAGAGCCAGCTTTCTGTAACCATGGATTCAATCAGTCATACCAGGAAAATCTTTATTTAATTATCTAGAAAACAAACCTAGAATTCATCGTGATGTATAGGGCCAATTGGATTTGATGCGGATGGCTAGGATAGTTTTAAATGGTGTATTTTAATATTTTGATAAATGTCTTTTTAATGCTTATGTATTGTATGTGAATTTGTGTCCCGGCATTGAATGTTTGCCGTGTATATGCTGTGCTCCCCCCTGAGTCCCCTTTAGGGTGAGAAGGGCAAAATATAAATGTTTTAAATAAATAATAAATAATAAATAAATATCGGAGTTGTAGGTATAGGGATGTATAGTTCACATGCAGTCATTGAGCACTCTGAACTCCACCACTTATGGACCTGGAACTAACTTGGCACACAAAACACCCATGACCAACAAAAATGCTGGAGGTCTTTGGTGAGATTTATAGGAGTTGTAGTTCACCTACATCCAGAGCATAGTATGCACCCAAAAAACGATGGATCTAGAACAAACTTGGCATACATCCCCAATATACCGAAATTTGAATAATGGTGCATTTTGAGGGGAATTGGCCTGGGCATTTTGGAGATTTATAGTTCACCTGCAGTCAATGAGCACCCTGAACTCCACCAACGAAGGATTTGGAACTAATTTGGCACACAGAGCCTCCATGGCCAGCAAAAAATACTGGAGGCCTTTGGGGAAAAATTCACCTTGATTAGGGGGAGTTGAAGTTCACCTACATCCAGAAAGCACTGTGAATCCAAACACTGATGGATCTGACCAAACTGATACCTGATATGCCTGAGGAGGAGGGAGGGAGCGAGGGAGGGAGGATTGAGGGAGGAGGGTGAAGGGAGGGGGCGAGGAAGAGCGCCGGGCTGCACTACCAGGCCGGCAGGGTGGTAACCTACTGGGCTGTCCTCACCGTTGCGGGCATGGAGTTGGCTCCGCCTCTGCCCTCAAGCCCAGAACAGCTACAGCAGGAGCCAAAGCTGGAGCGGCGGGG